ACTGTCTTTCTCCGAGAAACCTAATCGAATACATTCCGATGATTTCAAATTGGGGTTCGCTCACCCTGCTCGGATTGAAAATGCGTTCGGCGGTTCGCATATTGAATAGATTTTAAAACAGGCATTATGAGAAGGAAACTTGCTTTCTGTCGAGACGATTTGCAACCAAACAAGGAGGATAATTGGACACAAAACAAGTTTGAATTAAATCATTCTGTCCGTGGTAGTGTGATTGAGCCGGGGCACATCGTGCATGAAACCGAGTTGTCGTACGAACCGAATCGATTATTTGTCAAAACGAGTGAATTATCAGCTAGCGAATTCTTTCTTCCATGCTCTGTCCTCCAGATTGCGGTCCGGGTGGATATGGGCACGAACGGGGCATGCACATTTGCACATTTACTCGACGGGACACTGAACAGTGACACTCCCATCAATAACTATACTGCTTAGAGAGGGAGATCAAAATATTCACAGGCATTCCCAGGTAAGTGACGCACTGTATATTCGCGACTTGGGTGATAGCTGTTACCAATAGAAGTTGATTCCATTTTTTTTAAGAATAGGGCATATATGACTAAGAGAATAAAATGAGCAGCTGAGAACGATTAGCCTTAATTTGTAAAACATTATAAAGCATAAAATGAAGTGTGATGATGTAAGAGCAGAATTGGCGAACGCAACACGTTTCCTTGACAGAAATCAATTGCTTGGACGATTACTTCTCAGGAGTTTTAGGTAGGTAATCGCGGTCGTCCACTGGAACGGGTATTCGACCTTCATAGATTACGCTGGTTGCGACATGTGCTACGCATGTCACCAGAGAGGTTGCCACGGCGAGCGATGCCTGGCGAGAAACATAGCATTGGAAAAAAATGAAGGGCGGTGAAGCTAAGACCTGGCACGAGGGTCACCGGTGGTTAGAGACACTGAACTATCTGGCTGGGTGTGGCAAACAGTGGCGCTCATGCATTTACGCACTATACTTGTAACTTCAGCCTATGAAAATGTGCTATGTTCCGCTTAAATCTGCTCTCAACATTCTTACAACGCGTTAATCTACGGTCCGCGGGTACTCTGTGTCCCCAGTTGGAACAAAATGTATACATTTTTTCTTTGTTTTCGTTTTATTTTATCAGACTAATAATTTACCCAGGTTTCAACTCGTGCTCACAAACATTACAGACAGAAATCACAAAGCAAAACAGCTGGAAATCCGAATGTGCGCAAAATGCCTCTCTCGGTAGAATTATTTCTGTGCGCTGACAATGCGGGGATTAGACTTACCACATTGATCTGGACGTAAAGATACAAATATCTCCTGGTCCACTGTGAGCGGGGTATCTGAAACCGGGGGACATTTGGCAGTGAATTCAATCATATGATCAATGAGAAAATAGCATTTCAATGGGAAAACATAAGATGAAGTGTGTGTGTGTGTGTGTGTGTGTGTCCGAATAAATAAACCTAATTTGATTTTTTTTTCTTGCAATCTGCTGCTCATCTACGCTAAGCCAACCCGATTTGCTAATTGATGTGATTGCGGAAAAACCATTTGGCGTTTCGAAGAAAAAAATTGGACGTCGTTTTCGGCGTGGTTATTTAGTCGTGATAAAATGATTTGTACTAGACAAAATGAAATGAAAAAAACCTAGTGGAGAGAAGAAAAAATGAGAATAGCCCTTTTGTTCGAGTGTGCTTGGGTTTCTGACAGAGACGTTTGCATAGATCAAGCACAAACGGAAAACCATGTGGTCGTTGAGAGGCAATTGCTTTTGAGGTTCCTCTAAACGATCACAGTGGATAATAATATATGGTCTTTCGAGAGATAGAGAGAGAAAACAATGTTTTTAGCTAATTTTGTACTAAATAAAACCATGGAAGTGTTCAAACGATTGTACAATCTCATGGTTTAATGGTTCGAATAACCTCAAAACCAAAAATAAAGCCACAGCGCGTACGAGCTAACCGTTTCACGTTACATTCTCGCTGGTGACCGCTTTCAAATGACCGAACCCGTTGTTGTCTTCAAGGACATGCCTGCGGATCGATTTTCATTTTGCTGAACCAAGTTGCGCTTCCTAACCCGTACAGACATGCGTAGCACAAGATGATCTAATTCACTATTAAATTCGTTCGATGCAATGGACAGTACAATCCTGATTATCGTACTCTACGACCGATGCAGTGTGGAATTCTTTATCGATTGTGTTTATTGGAGTTTGATACAACAATATCGCCAGAGAGTCCAGCCACTAATTAAGAGAACGGGTAAGGTTCTAGATTAAAGTTTTCGGTCGTGAAAAAAGCCGTAAGGCAACGGATAAGGTGAAGCGGGGACCGGTTTACTTAACTCGATTACTCCTACATCATTCTACCAACTGGGAAGGTAAGCCGAGTAGAACCCCTCTTACTGGAGGATTAGGAGATTGAAATGTGTCTGGCCTCTCACTTTCAAACTGTTAATCGTGAATGGATCTTCAGATTAGCAAAAGCCATCCTGCTGGGTCGCAGACGTGCACGAGATATCACACTACATCAAGGGGAAGTCTTTATGTGAAGTACAGAAAGAAACCTTGACACCATAATGTCATTGCAAAACGGCGGCGATCCTGATTGTAGGAGAAAGAGTTGGTTATCAACGATGAAGTTAGCTCTCAAAGTAATCAAAGAATCTAAATGAACTGTTGAAATCGTTGACAGAGCAGAAATCAAACTTAAAGGACGAAAACGCTGAAAACTTACTTCGATCGTCTCACACGGTATTACCCCTTCAAATGGCACACGTAACCCCGGTATGTAACCCACCTGTCAGTCATCTAGGGAATCTTTACCGGGCATTGTGTATTCAGACCACAGCTGTTCAACATTCATCTCAGCTTATGTACTTTCTCAGTCGGAGAAAGCATATTCACTTCTGATTTGGGAACGATGGAGTTACAAAGCAATTTAACCGCTTCGCTCTATAGACTTCCATCGATCACAGGGGGTCGAGCATTACTTAGGTGACGGTACCGAAGGTCAACTGAGTACCGTTCATGACGATCGGGTCGTCTCTTCTTATATCCCGCTGCACTTGGGGAAATGTGAGCACCGGGCAGGGTGGTTAGACAGACTTGTGCTAGATTTGATCTGGTTAGAGTGGGTTTCTCATTGAGCTACCAACCGGGTATTTTTGCCTGTACCTTGCTCTGTTCTCAAAAATGGGTTTACTTCGTGATCTGAAATAAATAAATCGTTTCTGAATGCCTAAAAACGACCTTATATATACATATACATATATATATATATAGCATCCTGTGTATTATTCAATAATCCAACGGTTATAATCTTCAGAACAGAGCGGGATTGAATATGGTCCCATGGAGCGGGGCAAACCTCCGGCAACAAAGTGTACACACGTGTGCTTCTTACCGCCAGAAATCTCACTGGTGTCCGGATCCATATGAACGGCCAATCCGAACCCGCTAAGCTTGACAGGTGCCGAGTTCTCCTGACTGGCCAACACGACACAGTGGGGTTTGAGATCCCGATGAATAATGTTGTTCTCGTGACAGTAGCGAACAGCCTCCAACACTTGACGAAGATAGTGACTGAACGGGGAAAAACGGGAAATTATCATGAATGAGACGAATTTTGTGCCATACGGGAGCAAACAAACAAGGATGGAGAAAAATGATGGAACCTTTTCGTATTGAGAAGAAACTTCGACAAAACGGAGATGGACTGCTAAGGTACCTAGTTTATATATATATATATATATATATATAAAACTATGATGTTATTGATGAGAGCGGTTTGCCAGCGAAGCCAAATCATGTGAAGTGAACTGAACGCAAGAGTCAGGGCCGCACAAAGCGATACAATTTTGAAGAAACACCAGATTACTTTGCGCTCAGCCGGCAAACAAGTCACTGTTTTAAACCTAACACACTTTGATCTCGTGTATTTTGTGTTGTTTTCAAATTCAAATTACCCTTGTTGTTTTCCAGATGACTACTGTAGGATGAAAAGTAATTTTGACCGAACATATTGGAAACAAAAAAACTGGCACAGAAAATAACATAATTCATCGACTAATGAGGACAAATAGGAGAGAAAGAAGAGTGCAAACTCAGTGAACCACAAGTTCGGCACATGACCGGAGGCAGGAACCAACTGAACATGGCAGTCCATTTCAGCGGGATCCGAACAAGCGAAGAATCTGTGCACTTTCGACGCACTATATTTTTTAAATACATGTACTCAGTGCGTTTGACACACAACTAGCCAAAGGTGGAAGCAGACCTGTTTATCGGAATGTGTGGCAAAATCACGTGAGAGGCCGGGCACTCGAACGGATGGACGGGGGTCCGTTACTTGGATATCGGTTCCGATAACACTGTACGGTCGTGCCCACCGCAGACAGGCAAAAAGATAAACGAATCGACTCGGATGTCTGGGATTTCGTAAAAAGGTGTATTTCTTACTACGTGCACCTAGCACACAGTAAACAGGAACAATTCACTGTCAGCGGATTACGGGAAAATATAAGACAATTGCTTTCTCCTTGTACTATTTGTTAGTGAGGTCGTTAACCACGATAAATCGATTCATAAGTCTGCTTTCGGTTGCCCACAGAGGAAAGCAATGTACCATCGACCCACGCGATCTCTATGTCTTAACCGAATATCAGATGGGATAAAGTGAGCACCCTTGAACGGTTGCAATCTGAATATTTTCCAGTGCATGATAATACGAGGCAATCAAGTTTCAAAGATTCAAAGTTGATGGCAAATTTATTTTTGTGGTGTATGGTGAGGAAAACAAAAAGCCTCTAGTGGACAATCAGAGTCTGAAAGATCCCAATGCGCGTCTGTCAAATCACCATGCAAGAAAGAAACGGGACGAACTGAATCAAAATTGCAGGAAATGATCACAC